TGTTCTTGGACTACAACTCCCAGAAGCCTTCACCACCACCTCTGCTGGCCAGGATTTCTGGGAGTTGAAGTCCAAGAACATCTGGAGGCCCAAGGTTGGGGACCACTGCCTTAGGCAATGATATTGTTTTATTTTTAATGCAACTTCTATTTTGTTTTCAGTTCTAGTATCAGGCCCTTGTATCTTGTATTAGGATACAAAAGAAATTTTTTTCAAAGTAATTTCTGATGTAACTTTTGCAAAATTCCTCACAGAATTCATTGAAGTGACGTGTTGCCATCCTGTCACTATATACATATAATGCAACTTCTATTTTGTTTTCAGTTCTAGTATCAGGCCCTTGTATCTTGTATTAGGATACAAAAGAATTTTTTTTTCAAAGTAATTTCTGATGTAACTTTTGCAAAATTCCCCACAGAATTCATTTAAATAATGTGTTGCCATCCTGTCACCACAACAAAACTTTTGCAAAATTCCTCACAGAATTCATTGAAGTGACGTGTTGCCATCCTGTCACTATATACATATAATATATATGTATGTATATGTATATGTATATGTATGTATATGTATATGTATATATACGTATATACAGTGTATGTATGTGTGTGTGTGTAAGTGACAGGAATGTGACAGGAATATATATACACACACATACAGTGTGTGTGTGTGTGTGTGTGTGTGTGTGTGTGTGTGTGTGTGTGTGTGTATGTGTGTGTGTGTGTGTGTGTGTGTGTGTGTGTATGGTCGGGATCTAATTTCGGGCTCTTTGGCCGTATTCTGAAGGTTGTTCTTCCTAATGTTTCGCCAGTCTCTCTAGCCGGCATCTTCAGAGGACAGCACTCTGTGCTCACCAGAGGACACAGCCGAAAAGCCCAAAAAAACCCACAACAGCCATGACACTACAAGTACTTTTTAGAAGAAACTTTTTTTAAAAAAATGGATAATTCGAAAGCTGTTGCTCATTACTCTGTGAGAAGAAAGAGCCATCATTGGCACTTGGTAAAATATTTCTAAAAGGTTACTTTGCTATGCTCTTGGTTTCAAAGGAAGCACATCCTTTTAGGGTACTGTGCTACTTTCTGACTCACTGTTTCCAAATCCATTACTTCATCCTATTAGTATGGATTTTATCCTCTTTATCTGCCTTTAATGGATTTGTTATTATTTTCTCCTATGCTGTAGACTTCATATTCTCAATGTTAAGAATATGAAAATATTTTGTTATGGTCGTGTTCTATTTTTTCCCATATTCCTTGAATGTATCTAAGATGAGTTACTGAGCATGTTGCCAGTGCAGTGAATTTTTTTAATTCCTTCCTTTCTCTTTCAGCTAAAACTTCCCAGCCTATTCAGCCACGGTGTAGCAGAAAGGTACGCCACACTTTTTGTTCTTCATTCAGCTTTTCAGGGGCCCTTTCATAGTGAGACTGGCCCAGTGTTGCTCTTAGAAACAGCAGACAGAAAAAGCACACAGCAGCTGCTTTCAACTTATGTCTGCTTTAAAGACGTAAGAGACAGACACGTTGGGCACTTGAGATTATAATTCCTATCTTCCCTGATGTTGGCTGGGGCTGATGGGTGTTAGAGTACAACAACATGTGAAAGACTACAGGCTCTTCATCCCTGTTGTGAGCTGAACAGAATGGATTTTTTTCCTGCCAAAAATCCACGGAAGAAGAGCAAAGCATTTGCCTTATTGAACACTTGTGGTTCTTTTTTTCTGTTTTTTTTCTTCCCAGGCAGATGGAACTAAAGAACTGTGAAAACGGATCTATATATGCAAACGCCAACCTTCCTGAGCCAACCCTGATTGATAATCAGACCCCTGTATCTATGAAACCCGGTGAGATGGACCATAAAATAAACGTCACAGCTAAATGATGGCAATGCAGAAGTTCAAGGCAAATGGTTTTCCCTGTATTAGTATATATATTTTTTTACGGATGTGTCCTAGATCTAATGATGACGATGGGATGTGTAAATTATTATTTGATCTTAATTTAATCGGTGGTTTGATAGAATTTCAAACCCACTGTGCAGAAAGATGTAAGGAGAGAAGAATACAGATTGACTAGTCCCACCTGTCAAAGCCTGTTGCCTTTTCTGTGTTGGCCCCACATTCTCTGTCAGCCCGCCCACCACTCAGGTAGTCTACCCCTTTTCATGCCTGGTTTTCCACCTCTTTTCTTCATCCTCATCTAAGCCACAGCGACCCATCTACTGGATTCCTGCATTGAGCAGGGAGCTGGAACTGATGGCGTTATAGGCCCCTTCCAACTCAATTATTCTATGATTCTGTTATTCTATACTGTGGCTGGGAGTACAAAAAAGGGGGGACTGGAAAACAGACTAGTGTATACCTAAGCTCAGGAGGTCCAGCCATGGAGAGTGATAATTAGACTGGTTTTAATGTCTTTTGGGAAAATCCTCTAAAGCTGTCTTTTATAGTTGGGCTTCTAAGATCATAGATACACTTGCCCTACATCCTGATCTCTTTCTGGATTTCCTTGTAACAATTAATTTAAAAAAAAAGATGGGGGAGAGAAGAGAATGAATGGGTACAGACTGCAACCCATTCTGAAGTGCAGGATGCTAGTGAAGGGGTAATATAAGGAAGATAACATTTGCAACGTTTGTTTGCTTGCTTGCTTGTTTTAATTTGGAAGTACCTCATCTATTCTACTCTTTTAAGGTTTATGTTCTTTTAAATCCAAGGTGGGAGCAAGAAAGAGGGAGAGGGGAAGCTGCTGCCAAACAAAGACAATCAAGACCAATCGTTAGAGCTGGCAGGGAGTTCCCTGAACAAATCAGCATCACTGAAAGAGGAAACAAACAATGATTTTCCAACGTTCTTCAGCGCTATGAGCATTAGGTAGGTCTGCCATCTGGCTGGAGCCTATATAAAGAACCTTAATCAGTAATGTGGCAGGGTAAATACATTTTCCATGTTCTTCAGCAAAGCATGTTATACAGTATTTCCCACTTCCTTAACTCTCGTTTATGCCAGAGAAAAGCATCTATATATAAAACAATACTAACAGTATATAAGATTGGGGGGTTGTTCACACACCATATGTCTTCTGAACATGTGATGTGGCCCATCACATGCTTGTGTGCAGGTAATAAATGTGATCCAGAGACACATGAATAGAGATCTGTGGTAATTCATATAATTGCCACAGCTGGAAAAAGTAACACTGGGATCATGGGAATTGTGCATCTTCTGATCTATCATTTGTTAACATTTCTCCATATAGTATGCTTAGGTGATTTGGTCTTGTTTGTAGTCATGCTGTTTTTTGAGCTGGCCTCAAAACCAGTGCTCAATAAATATCATGATCCATGAAGACCAGGTTTGCCTGCATGGACATTGTGCTGAGGAGTTTGTTTTTGCTGGGATTTATTCCCCCACCACACACCGCATGGCCTAGGAGGTGGGGCTTTCCCTCCTTAAATGAGTGTGTGCCAGGACCGTGCGAAATCCTCAAATTCTCTGACTCTATCTCTGACCCTAATATGGTAAAGAGGAAAGCCAATTAGCATTGCCTACACACTGGGAGGAGTGAGGAAGCAGACAGGCACCCTTTTCACTGGCCAACAGTTAACTGAAAGTTCAAATTTTGCACTTTCCCTGCCTCCCACGTGGTTTTTTTTCAGTTTGTAACTCAAATCTAAGTATGTAAGTCAAGTCAATATTTTCCTATGAGAGTGGTTTGTAAGTCAAAATGTTCTTAACTCAAGCCGTTCTTAAGTCAAGACCCCACTGTAGTATGCTTAGGTGATTTGGTCTTGTTTGTAGTCATGCTATTTTTTGAGCTGGCCTCAAAACCGGTGCTTAATAAATATCATGATCCATGAAGATCAAGTTTGCCTGCAAGGACATTTTGCTGAGGAGTTTGTTTTTGCTGGGATTTATTCCCCCACCACACACCGCATGGCCTAGGAGGTGGGGCTTTCCCTCCTTAAATGAGTGTGTGCCAGGACCGTGCGAAATCCTCAAATTCTCTGACTCTATCTCTGACCCTAATATGGTAAAGAGGAAAGCCAATTAGCATTGCCTACACCTGGGAGGCAGGAAAGTTTTAAGGGTCGGATCATACTTCCACACTATTAGAGTGCAGGCCGGGTAGGTGGGGCTTGTCAGCCATGGAAGGCAGGCCATCTAGGAGAGGGAAAACTCCAATTTCAAACCTCCACTGCCTTGTGGCTATATCCAGCCATGGAAAAGGCTTCAGGAGTTAACCTAGAGGAAAAATCCAGAGCTGGAGTCCCGAAGGCAGTTCATGTCATTCTGCCAACTCTTGTGAAGTTGCTGGAACCAGTTGTATTGGCTCTTGCCTTTCCATTGGACCATTTCAGCAACGTGGAGAGGGGGGATTTGCTGTTTGGGTAACAGCCTATCCTCCATACTACTTTACCCAGGCTTCATGCTCTGGAGAGGACACTTCTCGATACTGAGCATGTTACCATAATCTCTCGAGACTGAAGGATGCCTATGATGGATCCATTTTTCTGAATATTTTCCAAAAGTGAAAGTTAGAGCATGTTCTGATAGATGCTTGCAATTCGTTTTGGCAAAAAGCTGTACCAGAAAAGTGTAATATTTTGATGGACTCTTTAAGAGTCTTATATACCCACATTGCAAATGCACAGAAATTGTTGTCCAGATCTTGTGAGATGCATTGGTGCCAACTAAAAGCAGGGTCAGAGCAGAAAAAGTTATATTCTGAATAGAGAGTTGATTACCTCTTCTTTTTCTATCTATCTGTCTATTTTCTAGACATCTTACTTGTCTTTAGAAGGGAAAGAGTGAACAGCTGAGCTAGAAATTGTAGGCTAAGAGACATATATGTTTGTGACACCCTCTCGAGAACTACTGGTCGCAGAGTTTCTTGTGCCAATGCAGGAAGAAGGATCAGCTGTTTGATGAAGAGGCATGATGATGCTTGGACCCTATACTTCAATATGTTGATATTATGGATGTTCTGCTGGTCTCTTGCCTAGAGTATATGTAGCAAAAGATATGTTCATGGTTTTACAGTAAACTGAACATATGAACATTTTCGTAGGACCTAAAGATTTCTGGGGTGGGGGGGGAGGGAAAAGAAAAGAGGAGGGAAATACCAAGTTGCAATTAGATTTCCCCTCCCCTCCACTGTCCCTCCTTCTTCCCCCTTTCCTCCCACCCACCCATTCTCATTTGGAACAGTGCCAGGAGAGTCAGGTGAAGGAAGAGAGGATATGTGATGTGTTGCAAGTGTCCTTTTACGGTGCATCTCTCACGCAAGCAAGGAAAGAAAAAGCCAGTGCAGATGATTTGTAAGAGGTGGAGGAGGAAGGGGGAAAGATGCAGTGCTGAAAAAACAAATAGCGATTAAGGGCGCTTTAGCCAAATAGCAGAAGAGGGTGGGCTGCTCCATTTGGACCTTAAGTGACAATGACAAGAACATAGCAGAGGAATAAAAAGAAGGAGGTAAAACGATAACAGAGATTATGGAGGGAAGAGTACATAGATAGAGCTCTGGAGCAGCCACCGCCGAGGAAGACTCTGGAGGTGGAAGAACAGCAAGACAAAGTGGAGGAGGTGAATGCTGATGAGAGCACAAATATAGTGGAGGAAGCACCATGGAAAGGAGTCCCAGTTAGGAGCAAAAGAAGACAACAACACTGGTCACCAATGGAACTGGAGAACCACTTTCGGATTCTTGAAGACGAGCCTGACAGACAGCATGCAGAGGAAGACATGCACGCAGGAGGATAGGAAAGAGGATGAAAATGAAAAATCTGATGGAACTCTCTTTTGGTGCAGAAAATGTTGATAAGCCTGTTTTGTCAACAAGAAGGCTAGTGTTGCCATTGAAGCAGAGATAAAATGTTTTACTGTAGGCGTCTGCTCAGTCAGAAGACCATATACATTCTATAGTGAGTTCTACTTGGGATGCAGGGTCCCTTTGCATTGCAGTGCGTGGAGCCGCTGGCTTTTTACATGTTTTTTCACCTAGCTGGCAAAGCTAGCTGTTTCCCCGACACCAACTGCTGACAGTACAAACCTCATTGGCTGAGCATAATCTGCCTTTACAGGGTTGTTGTTGTTTAGTCGTTAAGTTGTGTCTGACTCTTTGTGCCCCCATGGACTAGAGCATGCCGGGCCCTCCTGTCTTCCACTGCTTCCCAGAGTTGGGTCAAATTCATGTTGGTAGCTTCGATGACACTGTCCAACCATCTCATCCTCTGCCGTCCCCTTCTCCTCTTGCCGTCACACTTTTCTAACATCAAGGTATTTTCCAGGGAGTCTTCTCTTCTCATGAGATGGCCAAAGTATTGGAGCCTCAGCTTCAGGATCTGTCCTTCCAGTGAGCACTCAGGGTTGACTTACAGGGTTACAATTCTTACATCCCCTTAATCGTTTTGACACTTTCTTTATACAAAGTACGAAACTTTGATGATCCAAACACTCCATATGATCCAGAACCTTGAAAACTGTGGTTGCCAGTCACATGGAAAGCTTCAGTGTGAAAAAGAGACCCTCTTTTAAAGATTATCATTCTCTATATCTGGAGAATGATGATGGAAGAGTGGGGCTTGCAACCTCCTTGCCCCTCACATGCTCACCATAACGTTATTTAGAATGCTCCAAGAGGTCTTCAGTCTTTGGTCCCTCTGAAAGGCCCTTTGTCCTTTGTGAGTTTTTCCAAACTTATTTAGCATAGTGGTTCCCAACCATGAGTTCCCAGATGTTCTTGGACTACAACTCCTAGAAATCCTGGCCAGCAGAGCTAGTGATCAAGACTTCTGGGAGTTTTAGTCAAAGAACATCTGTATTCCCAAGATTTGGGAATCACTGCTCTGGCAGCATTCTTGTCAGAAGACTCAAAATATAGCTTGCGATATAAAGTGGGATTATTCTTCTTTGGTACCTCTACCTATAGTGACATAGGAATTCTTAATGAATTTTTTTGTCTGCATGTTCTTTTCTCCAGATTTAGTGATATCATACTTGCTGAAGATGAAGGTATACCTACAGAGGAGTTTCTGCGATCTTGTTATGAAATCGTACCGGTACTGGGTATGTGTGTTTCTCTGCTTTCTCTGTGACATTTGTCATTGCCTGTCTTCCCTGCAAACAAAGCTGCAAACCACAAATTAGAAGTTATGGGCTATTGCTAGATTAGAATCTCTGACTTATTTAAACCATGATTTGCTGTTGCTTCTGAATTCAGGAAATGGCTTGTTTCTCTGGCTTCCCAACTGCACAGCTTGAATTGAGACAGAAGCTGATAAATGGGGGAGAGGGAGGGACTGGGGACAGACCAGAAATGAAGAAAACAAACTGGTTGGTACTTTCTTTCATTGATTTCGCAGGCTGTCCACAGGACGATGCATGGCTAAAACAAGAGGCTGTGGCGAGTAGAAACTATGGCTTAGCACAAAGAGGAGACAATCAGAGTACAAACAAACAAGCTTAATTTCTCAGATATTTGAGCTGGTCCTTGTTTCACTGAGAGTTGAAAATCAAATCTCCTGCCTCCTTATTCTGTATCCCATTTGCCAAACTGCTATGCAGCTGAACAGCTAAAGCACTTTTGTAAGCCGTTGCTCTGTGGACAGATTTCCTTTTTATTCCATTTTTGCTCCTGAGAGGACTCAAATCCATGACACATTAATATTGAGAAAACATTTTCAAGTTCAGATTTACAAACACAAGTCAGTGGGCATGGGAGCATGGGCGGTCTGGAAACTGTAGTCCGAAACACTAAATTTTCCAAGTCCTGATCAAGTTTTTCTAGATGACAACTACAGCGGATGCTGGGGCATAAACAGTCTTGGGGGAGAGGGAATGTTTTCTTTCTTCTGAAACAATAAGGGATCTTACGGTACTTCAAAAATGAATGAATTTTATCTGGCTGAGGTGTTCACGGGTTGCAAACTTGTCAGCCTTTATGTCACAGGACTCCTCACAAATGACTAACCCAGATACTCTCCCCATGAAATTCTTTCAGACAAACTTGGATCCAAAGTCTTTGCTCCTGTTAAAATGGATTTTGAAGGTAACATCAAGGTAATAGTTTCCAAATAACAATTCTTAACCATAACTGGACCCAGGCTTAGTCATACTTAGAGCAGATGCCTTGAAATCAATGAGAATTAAAGAAATCTGCTCTTTAATATCATCCTTATTCAGTCATGATGTCTATGTTAAGTCAGCCCTTCCATTATTGCTTTGCTCACACATATCCACCCACACAAGTAACAGGCCTAAAGAGATTCGTTTACCCATGAAGGCTCACCCCCTGAGTCAAAATACAAGGAAATGGATGTTTTAGATCACTTGCTGTTACCAAGATGGAACGGGTCTCCTTAATTCAGACCTGTTCCTTTTGTGTGAGCAAAATGACAACAGGAAGAGGGTGGGGGTTAGTATGCGCTTTCCTTTTCACATTGAATAAACATGCTAGCTTAACAAATGAAATCCAGTCTAGTGTAGGGGTGGGGTGTTTTATTTCCCTGGTTGCTAAGGGTCAGGAACAAATAATGTTGGAGATTCTGGCTATCAGAGAGCTTCTTTTTAGATGATCTATTCGGAGTTTAGTGGAGGGCTCGCTGTTCTTTTCATACAAGCAGAAGAGCTTGAACAGTGTATACAATCAGTGTGGCTCCTGAAGTCATTATTAATAGCTAGCACTTGCAGACCTTGGCCTCCGGTTCTTAGAGTGTCTCGCACACTTAATCGTCTGAGGAACCATCTGCTACTTGTGAGATGAATGGAAGACTGTTCGTCACTTAGACAAAATGTTACCTTTCAATAAAAATCCAGAAAACAATCCATCCCACAAAAGAATGTAAAATATTTATATCATTAAAATACCGTGCATGAAAAGCAGCAGTAGTTTAAGTTGGAAATTGTTTAAAACAAGCCCCAGAGACCAAAGTGGTGATCCTTTAGGAGGGAATGGCATAGGGGCAGAGCCACCATTGAAGCAACCCTGTCATACCTGTCCAGGGGCCTGGTGGACCTAATGGCAGACATACGTATAAGTAGAGGACTGCACACCCAGTCTTAGGGATTAGGCAGGTTCATTTAGATGTCGATGGTCCTCCTGAATGCAAACTGTTCAGAGCTTTAAAGGTAACTACCCGTGTATCGAATCTTCTTGGAATCTCACTAGTAACACTGTAGCCACTGCAGATGAATTATTTGCTGGAATCTATAAAGATTCAAGTAAAGTGGTGCCCCACACCACAACGATAATCCATTCCCCTGAAATCACTGTTAAGTGAAAACATTGTCCAGTGAAAACAGTTTCCCCATTGGAATGCATCGAAACCCATTTAATGCATTCCAATGGGGAAATTGCCTCATCGTCCAGCGAAAATCACCATAGGGGAAGCCATTTTCCGAGCGCCGATCAGCTGTTAAGCATGGGTCCGGAAAACACAGGGCAGCCATTTTACAGAGCCGGAAAACATCATTGTCTTGCGAACAAATGGTTTGCGAAGCACGGACCTAATCGTCGTCAAATGAAAATCCCCCATAGGAAACATCGTTTTGCGATCGCTATAGCAATCACAAAAAGTCACCGTCCTGCGGACTCATTGTACAGTGGGGTCATCGTCTAGCGAGGTACCACTGTATCTGCATTCCATACTAGCTGAAGTTTCTGAACTGTCTCCAAAGGCAGCCCTGTGGACACTGCATTACAGTAGTCTAATCAGGATGTAACTGTGGTGTAAATGACTATAAATAGTTCTGCTTCTTCTAGATAGGACTATAACCTGCAAATCAGCAGAAATTGGTAAAGTTCCACTCTTGACAATAGGAGCTTCCCTGGATAGTTCAAAATGTGTGGTCTGATTCTCTGTCCCTTCCAGAAAATCAATCAGAAATATATAACCAACAAAGAAGAATTCAACACCCTTCAGAAAATCATCCTCCATGAAGTGAAAACTGAAGAGGCCCGGGTTCGACACTCTGCTACAGAGGCTCTCATGTGGCTGAGAAGGTAAGCTACTTTGGGATAAGACTGAAATCATTACTCGAAGAGCATCAATAACAGAGAGCTATTTCTGCCTGAAATCAACAAACACTTATTTCCTGTGTGTACGTGTGTGTGTGAGTGTGTGTGTGTGTGTGTTTAAACTAGAAGTATAGAATAATACAAGCAAGGGAAGTGCATTTAACCATTAGCAATGCCTGCAAGTACTGCCCAGGACTAGCTTCCTCTGGGCCTCCTTTCCTGAGTGCTGAGCTTGACTGTCACACTATACTGAATGAAGTGAGATAAAAGGAACAAACAGTAGTTGTTCAGAGGTGCTCTGAGCCACAGCTTGGAAACATCCCATTTTTACTACAATGCCCAGTATCCTTCAGCTTTGAGGCAACTGTGGTGGTTTGAGAGCTTTAGTCCAAAGAAGCACCTCTTCGAAGTTCTCCTGTGATTTTGCCTCCAAACCTGAATTGTTGGACATATCAAGACCACTTCCTGGTGGGTGGCTCCTGTCCCTCATAACAATTGATCTCGAGCTATAAGCTGAAGCAGAATAACAGTCCACTTTCTACACCGGTGGCAATGTTGCCTTCTTCCCATCTACCATTCCATGGTGCTGCATCCATAATTGTGAGTGTCACATCTTTGCTGTGGATGGGGCGGCAGAAGGTGTGGTTCTCCTGACTGGGACATATTGATGGTGGCTTTCTTGTTACATTCCATTCTTTATAACTTCATCTTTCTTAAATTTAGTTGTGACTTCTATGAAATGAAGTTAAAAATACAGGCAAAAACAGAAGATCACACGTATATGTGAATTTGACAGATTGCTGACTACTGTAGCTATGGATTAATGAAATACAGCATTAAGAGGAAACTAGAGATTATTAGTCACCTAGCACATTATAATAATAGGTGAAATCCTTAAGAAGACCTGTAGTCAATTTGCACTATCTTTTTAATGTATTTATTTATTTTGGGCTGTGATATTTTAAAATATTTATCAAAATATTGGCAAACTTGCACATAAATGAAGGAGTGTTGTAGTGCTATAGATGAATAATGGTAAAAAGAAAACGGTTTTCTTTTGCCCCCATGAATCATATTAATAAGATTTAAAAAAAAAACTAGCATCATTGGGTTACATAAAAGAGTACTATAGTGATATAACAATGAAAACCTTATTTTTAAAAAAACTATGCTCCCACATTTAGGATTTATTTGTTATTTTGTGTATGTATCTCAAGCGAACCTCAAAGCTGGTCTTTTAATAAAGTACCAACATCCCTGCAGGCATTGTCTTCCTTTTAAAAACATATCTTAAAATAAGTTACTGTATATTGGTTATACTCACTTTACTGTTTTGTTCCAACCAGGGGGTTAAAATTTTTGAAGGAATTTTTAACTGAACTGAAGAATGGAGAAAAGAACATTCAAACAGCATTGAGTAAGTACAGAATGCTCTCGGGGAAAAGTACAAAATTCCTCAAAGCTGAAAAAAATCATGTTTATATAAACCAAGCAGTGCAGATTATGATGAAAGTCATGGTTGGGAGTGAAACACAATGAGCACAATCCTCTCAGCAGTCATGGAGCAAAAGTGCTTTCTGGGTAGAGTGATCACCAGCCTGCATTTATATGAGGCTGAGAATCTCTGGCACCCATGTGCCGGGGTATAGTGTCAAAACGCTCAAGCAAGCAACTAAAAATGACAACACTGTGAGGAGCAATTCCCTGTGCAGAAAAAAAGCAAATTGCATTTTTGCCATTAAGATGCAACAGTCAGTATCATTTATTGAACCTTATTAAGCTACCTCTGTCACTGGTTTAAAATGTGGCATCACGTAAAATATTTTCCATTCTGTCTGATTGCAGACAACGCTTACGGAAGAACTTTGCGGCAGTACCACGGTTGGGTTGTCCGAGGTGTTTTTGCAGTAAGTTGAGTCCTGCTTTACAGGCTGGTCCCTTAAGAGCTGGCTCAGTGTCTTGCATTTCCAAAGCTCTGATGACTTACTTCAACCAGAGTGAGCTGAGAGAGAAGTACCGGTCCTGTTCTTCTAGGGATTTCTTCAAGAGTTCTCTCTCTCTCTTTCTCCCTCGCGCCTTCTCCACACACATTGATTTCAGCAGGTGGGAGGGATTAACTACCTCAATTCTTGAGCTACCCTAGTTGAGTAGTTCACTGATGACTTACTTCAACCAGAGTGAGCTGTACCGGTCCTGTTCTTCTAGTGATTTCTTCAAGAGTTCCCTCTCTCTCTCCCTCACTCCTTCTCCACACACATTGATTTCAGCAGGTGGGAGGGATTAACTACCTCAATTCTTGAGCTACCCTAGTTGAGTAGTTCAGCATTAGGGCCTCTAATGGCACCAAGGGGCTTTGGGTCCAGCAAATGCAAAACCACCTGCATCCTGCCCTACCTGACAGTTTCTGAATCAGACTTCAGAGCCTGTGTAACTTTTTTCTGCAGCCATACTGCAGACCTCCATAGTGGACATTCTCCCTGCTCTGCCAGCAGTGTTTCCTTCCACCAGCAAAAAGTATTTCTGCCCTGCCCAAAGTCCTTGGGCCACAGTTAAAACTGATCGCAGTTTTTAAAAATTAATTTTTAGCCTGTGTAACTTTTTTCTGCAGCCATACTGCAGACCACCATAGTGGACATTCTCCCTGCTCTCCCAGCAGTGTTCCCTTCCACCAGCAAAAGGTATTTCTGCCCTGCCCAAAGTCTTTGGGCCACAGTTAAAACTGATCACAGGTTTTAAAAATTAATGTTCAGAAGCTTTTTTTATTGACAGTCCTCTCATATGAATTAACAGCCATGTATTTCATGGCAACCATAATATAACAGAACAACTTAAACTATAATATGATAATCTTACTTATAGAATATATTACCACCTTATAATCATCTGTACATCTGCTAATTTCATATCCTAACTTGAATTCATTCTCTAACCCATTACTCATCATTATCTGTCCCAAAAGACAGCAAATTAGAATACTGTAAAAGTACAAGCATTAAAACAGAATTAAATTTGCTATAATATTAATATTAAAACAGTTTAAAATGCTCTGCCCACAATTATGACTCTTAATTTATTTCTGAAATTGATGCATTTCATAGATCACAAGCCTATTCTATGTGGCTTCTGCATGTTACGAAGTGCAGTAGTTCTGTCTTTCTTACTTGGCTTCAGTGGAGCAATAAGCAATTTTTGCATATCAGAAATAGGGGAGGGATATCAAATCTCCAGTAAGAACTCAACCCTAAGCACAGTAGACTTCAGTGGAACCTGGTGGCAGGTTAATGTGCATCAGATTACATTCAGAAATAAGAGTGATTTTTTTTAGAAAGCCCACTGTCTTTCTTACTTGGCTTCAGTGGAGCAATAAGCAATTTTTGCATATCAGAAATAGGGGAGGGATTTCAAATCTTCAGTAAGAACTCAACCCTAAGCATATTAGACTTCAGTTGAACCTGGTGGCAGGTAAATGTACCTCAGATTACATTCAGAAATAAGTATGATTTTTTTAGAAAGCCTGTTTTGCAAATGCTTCTAGATCAGCCACTCTCGACCTTTTTTGGTCATAGACATAAACACAATATGAAAGAAATATGGGCCAAATCACGATTGTATAAGTCACATGAACCTTATAAGGTGGTGTGTGAATAACTGTTTCCAGTCTGTGGCTCCCTTCAAATGTAGGAGGGCCCCCCCCCCCAGGGGTCATATGGTCCTGGTTGAGAATGCCTGCTCTAGAAAACTAATATAAGAAGCTATCCACATTATGGAGGGATTGGTCATGGCCATAAACACAATATGAAAGAAATATGGGCCAAATCACGATTGTATAAGTCACATGAACCTTATAAGGTGGTGTGTGAATAACTGTTTCCAGTCTGTGGCTCCCTTCAAATGTGCGAGGCCCCCCCGGGGGGGCATATTGTCCTGGTTGAGAATGCCTGCTCTAGAAAACTAATGTAAGAAGCTATTACATTATGGAGGGACACAAAAGTATATGTATCCATACCATTGGAGAGAAAGGAAAGGGTCAGAGCAAGCATGGTTCATTAGATTAGAGCTGATGTAGAAATGCTCCTGGCTTATCTCTTCATCATGTCATGCTATCCTGCTAGCAGTAAGTCTGCTTTTCAGAGAGAGACTGGCTACTCAATGACATAAAAGTGGCATTAAGGGCATTATCTGACCCTCTAAACACTTGTTTGCTGCACGTATGGCATGCAAATGGTACAGAAAAGTGTAAATTATTTCTTCTCTTCCTTCCACTTCATGTGACCCTAGCTCTCAACTGGCATCTCCTCCTCTTTTTCAGTTTGAGGAATGGAACTGCAAGTAATGGCTGTTCTCCAAACTAAAGGAAGTTTCTTCCCCTTTTTTTGAAGGATTTAGGAGAGATTTGGAACACATTTGTTATCTGCCTGCTTCCTACTCCTGGCATTAACTCTGTAGGAGAACTAGGGCACAGAGACTTAACAGTGGTGGCCCAAAATATGTCTGAGGAGTGGTTTTCTTGTTATGTCCACCCTGCTCCACTGCTGTTGAAACGTAATCTCTTGAACAGTAGGGAGTATAACACTAAAAAGTGTGTGTTGTGGGAATGAACGTTAGGACAGAAAAAAAATTACCTGTAGGAAAATAGCAAAATCTTTTCTTCTTTTATGTTCTGTTATTAATTATTAGTAACATTTTCAGGATGTTTTTGACTTTCTGTACTTCGCTTCTAGTATCATTATGTATACTCACAGTCTTCTCACTTTCGTATGTAACATCTTTTTACTGCCTTCCAGATCTTAAACAGTACTTTCAAAACAGTGGACTTTTAAGTTTGCCATGCCCACTTATGTGTTTTTATTGTTTTGCCCTTCTGGGCTCTTACCTTATTAATGGCTCCATGTAGTGCCGTCTGGTTAAAATAATTTAGAGATGGGCAGTGGCATTGGCCGCACCGGATATTGCTATTTTGCCACAGAGAGACATGCAGATTCCATCCCCCAACCTTAAGTATTTGCCTGTCTGTCTACATCAATGGCCACGCTAGGTAGGAATTATTGAAGTTACAGTCCCATGTAAATAGAGGATTAGGAAAAGCTAATCTTCATCTGTGGGTTTGTTGACCCTTAGATTGATTGATTGATGGCCTCTGTCCTCTCCGCCTGCAAAACAGATTTTAATTCCTTGCCGATATACTTAGGCTATATAGAAGCTTACATCACCGTACATGTGGAGGTCTTTGCTTGTTTCCACAGCTATGCAAACCTGGAAGTTTGTTTCTTCCTCCACCCACTTGGTGCCACATCGCTTCTATTGGGTGCATGAGTCATCTGTGGAACGATAATGATATTTCCCCTCCCCCCACAACCATGTATGTGTTCTTCATTTTCCTGTAGCTTCAATAGCACAGCCCCTGTATCTGTGGCATGCTAAAAGAAAACTGTCCATGCCACAAGACTTTTGTATTTGTTGCATGGAAAACAGCACGGCTATTTTACTTTCTGTTCTTATCCTTCCAGCTAGCACTGAGGGCGTCTCCTACCTATGAAGGTTTTGCATCTGCACTGTCTGTGGGCGAACGTGATTATGAGGAAGAAGCTTTTTATAACGGAATGAGAAGGGACCTTGATATCTATCTACCAGCCATGGAAAAACAGCTCAGCATTTTGGACGCACTGTACGAACAACACGGGCTGGAGTCGGACGAAGTAGTGTGATCTCCAGCCAAAACAGTGCCTCACGTATTCAGGGATTGTGTCTGTTAACATAGCGTTTTTTCCCCCCCAGAAGGTGTTTTCTGTTCTGGTCTGTGTTTTTTCCATACTTGGGAAGGGACTCAAGGCTTCCTTTTTATATATGTACAGAATTTTTTTTAATGCTTGTTTGTGTTTAACTGCAAAGGTGCTATATATATATATATATATTCCAGCAGGGGTGTGCCTATCTTTCTAGCAAGTATCTGCAGCCAGAGCTTTTGGTGTTGCCTGGGTGGGAAGCCCTAATGGGGCCACAACTCCAACCACTGAACAGCCACAGAATGTACGGTTGGACTGATAACTTCGGAACTCGTATATATGATTTGCAGGATTACGAATGTAGAACAACATGCACAAGAGCAGGGTTTAATTTCCCAACCTCAAAACACAGCCGCAGTTGCAAAGTCCCATATCCCACAGAAGTGAGTGCCCATGCAGGTCTCATTCTTGAAAGCATCATACACAGAATCCAAGGTTTAGTGTCACAGCTACCTCTGAGACCTCCCCTTACTGACACTAGTGCTGCATATCGAAGCCGTTGGCCATCTCCATCCACAGCGGGGCTGTCTCCCTTTATAGTAAATAAGGGCTTGTCCCATTGTACGCGATAAGCTGAAACCTTAACATCAGAGTCTTTGGATGGGTTTCCAGTTTGATGTTTTGATGCTGAGCCAGAAGTACTGAAAGAACCCTTGCAAAATTAATTGAGGACACGATTAGTTCTGGCCCTGTGATCACCCATCCACAATGCCAACAGATCAGGTGAGGTGGCTTGCAGAGTGATGTGTGGGACACAGAGGATTGAGCAGAAACTTGCTTGGACTTGACATATCCAGTGCAGATAAATGTTCTTGCACTCTCAGGTTAACCTGCTTTGCAATCTCCAGAACAGTTTACGACAGTTCTGAGATTGGCACATCTACAACATGGGGGGAGGGGCCCATTTAGCTTACAGATGGTTTGCACTACAGTACCCACCGTCGGATATCGGGACCGTGCTATGTACAGTGGGTAGGATTGGAGGGCCAGAGAATTCTCCACCCTGCTTGCAACCAAATCATATCTATTCTGTGGTTGGTTTGTTTTTTAATGTTCCATGCTACTGCCTAATCTGGATTATTCTCCCCCCTCCATAGTTTTGGAATAGAATCTGGGCTAATGGAATAGGAACTTAAGGTAGCTGGTAACCTTTTGTTTAAAATTATAGTAGGTTGGCCTTATCAGAGTTCATGGTGAGCAAATATTCCTCCAATTATATTTAATATCATGCAGCAGTTGCTATATAGGAAATATACACAGGGCAAAACCCACAATTATTCTTCCCTGGAGTAGACCCATAGAAATCAATAGAACTTAAACTAGTTGTGATTTACAAATCCCATTCACTTCACTCGAGTTAGTCTAGTTAAAAAGTAACGTAGGAATTAACTCATGGACTTTTTAGTGTTTATGTTAATGTGTCGTGTGCCTTCTATGCTTTAAGGCAAATGCATTCATCATTTTAGTTTTTGCATGGTGTAACAGTCAGGAGAAGGAGAAATACTTGGAAGAGTAGTGGCTGATGTTCCTAGATCAAAGGGCTTCATGCCCCATATGTCAAAATTGCCAAAACAAAATCCATCTTTCTCGTTCCTTTCCTAGCAAATGGCTGCTGCAACCTTCCTTTCTCCCCTCCACAGACTCTGGTTTTCCTTTTTTGCTGGTTTTTTGCATGTGCAGACTGCTGCCTTTAGGATAATATCGGCCAATATTCCTTGCGTCTCTCACCGTTGGCCCTGCTGATGGGAGCACCAGTCCAATAACAACTGCTGGCCTGCACTTTTCCAGGACCGCCCTGCATCTGTTTCTTTTTCTTTCTGTTGCTTTGCATTCTTCCTACATATAAGATGCATCTTTTTGATTTCTTGAAGTGTTTTATAATATGTTCTATATAGCTTGTGGAGTCTCAAGAAGAACATAATTCTCTTTAGGAGAAAGCTGGGAACCTTGTGATGTTAGTGAAAGACTGCTATAAACCATCTGTAGAGGAGATCTCTGTACTCTTTACCCATGCATGTGGCTACCTCCAATTTCCCAGCTTTTTCCAATATCTGTGGATGTGGTTATCGTACAGGGCTGGACCATGTATCAGTGATTATATTGAGTCTTTCACAGTGTTATATACGCCACTTGGAAACCTCAGCGTGTACTTCCTCCATCCAGTCATCTGAATCCAGCTTTAAACATCAGGGCATTGTAAAATCAAGGCAGGATCGCAACATTGGAGAGATTAATCATTGGTTCCATGCCACATTCCTGAAGCTACCTCCTACAACAAATAGAAATGTGGTTTTTTAAAAAATGTATGGGTAGAAATGTAGCAGAGTACAGTAATCCCATGATATCAGTCCAGTACTTTTAAATGCCTCCCATGACTGAATTCTTATAGAATTGGTCCTTCTAGATTTGTTCTGTAAGTCCATATTTTCTGTGGTTCTCTCTTTAGGATGGAATATTGGGAGAAGTGAGCTAGATAATTTGAAGAAAACTCTGAACAAGTTCTGGAATTTTAAAAACTGAATTAGGTGTTTGAATGTGGATTTTACTGTTTGGAGTGTAGAACCGCAAACCATCTGTCAGAACTGCTGGATAGCTCAATGCTTTCGGTATCTGGCTGCAGAGCCCAAGGGCTGGGAGTTCGATTCCCCCCGTGCCTCCTTGACAGAGACTATGCCCGACGATCCGTAGGGTATCTTCGAGCTTTGCAGTTCGAAGATTATCATCATTATATTATTGTCTAGTGGATTTAAAAGATGGTCATATGGACTGGGCACATTCAGACGTCTGTTTCTATCCACTGTAAAAAAAAAAGCCCTTGTTCATAAACAGTCCAGTTTTATCAATTTGATGCAAGAGGTTACTTTTTAACAATATTGAAAATCTTGAGTCTCTATTTATTTTCAGCATTTAAAACCTGTCTTTAAAGATGACATCTAGGTTTGTAAATAGACCATGCACTGGAAAAATAAGAAGCCAATGGTACTGTTGTGTTATTTTGTGAAGTGCAGATGATCCCAACATGTCTCTCTCTACATCTAAACATGTATTTTCTTCAATAATAAGCTGCACCCTCCCCAGTTACAGCTGAAAAATCACCAAGAGGTTGGAGTTCCTCCTTTTTCTATTGAATATACAGCACCCTAGACCTGTGAGGCAGTTGCATACATATTAGCATTAAGAATGAGGAGGTTTCCTATTGATAACAGATGTTAGTCAGTCCGCAATAAACCAATAGTTTTACATAGAAAAAAGAAGAGTTCTCACTAACATCACTTCTAGGTTTGATATTATAGGTAATTCACAGCTGTGCTGGATCAGAAGACTTTTTAAAGTTTTCTCTCCATTCCAAGGTGAATGAATGTCTACAGGTATTTGTTTAGAGTCCTGCTCACATGAACATTTGAGTAGGTAGATTAACAAAGCAATCGTGTTGAAATGAGACATAAAGAGAATTGTTTTTCCATTTCTTAATAACATGGCATTCTTTTTTCATTTCCCCCTCCTATTCCATGGGAAAGAATTAACTGACAGCTCCAAGTTCAGGAGAAAAAGGGGACTTGGATGCTTGTGTATCCTCGGTAACCTGCCAAATGGCCCATTTTCCTCAGTTCTGATGGGATAGCTACACCTGCAAAGTTTTCTATGGATATACAGGGATCTATGTACATTGACACAAATGCTGTCTTGCTTCCTTCCCCCACCAGCAGAGGAGCACAAATGCCACATCCAGCTACTCACTGGAACAACCTTGGGATTGCTGGTGAAGGGTCATGTTATACATTACAGATAACACAGCATTGGAAGCAGGAATTGCTTAATTGCTGAAAAAAAGACTCACTCATACCAAAAGTCTTTCCTCCTTTCTGTAGTTTGCAAATTAGCTTGCTTTGTTTCTGATTGGTCATCAGGAAGTAAACATGTGTTCTTTGCAACTGTGTCTCCTCAGACACTAAAAATGATGATGCACTGTCAAGTGGATTCTCACTTATAATCCTTTCCAGGGTTTTTGTGGTGTAGTGCAATGGTTCCCAAACTTGGGTCCCCAGATGTTCTTGGAGTACAACTCCCAGAAATTTTGGCCATCACAGCTAGTGTTGAAGGCTTCTGGAGGTCTTAGTCCAAGAACACTGGGGGACCCAAGATTGGGAATCAGTAGTGTATTCAGAAGGGGTTTACCCTCCCTGGCTTCTGGGGCCACTCTGAAACCGCACAGCTGAATTATTCTCCTTGCCTTACTAGTAGCCCTTGTTATGCACAATCCAATGGCATGGTAAGCAAAGGGAGGTCTCAGACACTTTGGTCGCACTGCAAGACTCCTTTCAGCATCACTGTCCATGCTCTTATGTCCTAGGCCTAGCCTTCTCTCTCCCACACATCCTTCCTTGCTTGGGGCTGTTCAGTCCAGCTTTTGATACAGACTGATCAGCAGCGATCATTAACATTGCTTGAGTTACAAGCTGGACGCCACCCATTCCTCATGGGCTAAAGTCAATGTGCCATGTAGTTTTCACAATCTGCCGTCAGTTTTCATCTGTTGAAACTGATAATTTGTAACAGACATTCAGTATCTCAGTTGAATGAGATGTCAATTTTGGTATCTGGCTGTGGAGCCAGAGGTTGGGAGTTCAGTTCACCACCATGCTTCCCTGATGGACTGGACTCAATGATCCACAGGGTCCCTTTCAGCACTCAGTTTGAACAACCGTACTTTGTTTTATAACTTACTGTTTTGCTCCTGTTTCCCTGGCATTTTCTTTGATAGATGGTGTTTCTTACTTGTTGACTGGTGGTCGTGCATTTGTCCATCTAGAGCGAGGGGAGCGATGCTGACAACATTCCTATAAAATACATATCTGAGAAGTAGTGTTCTTTTTGCATACTGAATGCTGGCCTGTATACCACTGTGCTATTGTCAAATAAAGTTATGAAATTGGAGGAAGCTTAGTGTACAGTGAAACCTCTGCTTACAAACATCCCCAGCTACGAACAATCCAAGTTACACTTAGCTCCATTTGCAAAAGTTTGCCTCTACTTGCGAACAGAACTTCAAGACACGAACGGAAAAAAACTTTCCTGCCCTTTTTGTGACCTAAGGTCAAAAGAAGAAAATATATTTTAAAAAAAGTTCACCTTAGGTCAAAAGAAGAAAATATATTTAAAAAATCTCCCCGTAGTGGTAGAGGATGGATTAACCGGCTTTGCATTAGTTCCTATGGGAACTAAAGCTTCGACTTAAGAACGGTGCCTCTAGATAAGAACGAAAAACAGCCAGAATGGATTGAATGGTTTTCAGTGCATTCCTATGGGAAAATTTGCCTCTACTTACAAACGTTTCAACTAACGAACATTTTCTGGGATAGAGTAAGCTTGTAAGTAGAGGTTCCACTGTATATGATGTGTAACCACTATTACGCGGATTTGGAAGATGGACAAAACCTCCATTGGTTTCTAATTTTATGAAATGCTAGTGAGTTACGTACACAGTTCCAAAATACTGATGGAACTTGTCATGTGGTCAAAATCAAATTGTTAAGTCTGACTGTTATGCGAAATCCTGGTCCATCCCTGTCATTTGAGTTGCTTTTTAAAGGCTGGTACTGATCATAATCTCAGGGCTTTGAACAGCAAAAAAAAACACTAGTCCTTTAAGTTTGTATTTGAAGAGAAGCTGATTGTTTATGTAAACAGAATGTAGATCAGCTTAGATCTCCCGTGAAGTGCATTTCTATTCTAAAATGTCTGGCTGGGACAGATCTGCACTCGACCTGAGCAATCCTAAAGCGATCGCGTTTAACTTGCAAAATGTACATTTATGTAGCAAAATGTTTGCCTTTGTATCTGAAGAAAGAGCAAACATTTTTATTAGAGGTGATAACCACCTTTTATCCCACCATAGCTGGGATCTATTATATTAATTTAATGTTTTGTAATATTTGTTTTAAAACATATATAATTATAAAAAGAAGCCTGGAAGCCTGGCTGTATAGCCTCAAAATTTAAAACATCAACAGTTTTGAGCTTGGATATATGAATGAATCACTGTCAGATATAGTTACAGTAGGATTCTTATTGTAAAAGAATAATTGCTTTTTTTAAAAAAATAGAGTGTCATAATAAAAATAATGGCAGATGAATTGCACTCACAATATCATTTTATATTTCCACCCCTGCTTCATTGACTGCATATAGCATGGCTTGAAAATGGTCAATACTTCATCAGTAACTGGTTATTAGAGTACAGCCTAGAGATAAACCACAGAGACTTCCTATTGACTACAACAGAATGTGTAGTGCAATTCACAGCTCCTTGATCGTGATGTTAATAAAACTTTGATTTTGTTCTCTCAAGGTTGCTGTAATTATGTGGTTATTTCTATACACGGAATAGTTGGTACGTAGCTCCCTAACTGTGAAGTCTGCTGCCATAAGAATTTCATATGGGTATTTACATATAGTATACATGAAAATCTGAATCCTTGCTGTAGGTTGGATTCCCCTTGAATTAGGGTGTTATTATGCTGCATTGATTTGCAGTCTGTACTGTATTATGTTTGAAATCACATTCAGTACTCACACAGGGGCTGTGGATTGATTTAAGAGTTTGAACAGCCAAACAAAAACACAATAATCCTTCAAGTCTATATCTAAAGAGAAGCTGATTGTTTGTGTAAACAGAATATAGATCACTTAGACCTCCTATGCATTTCCTATGCATCTCATCCATACTGAACGTGATGTGATTTGCATTCCAATCCACAGTTCTCCCTTCTTTGCTTCCTCCTTCTGGTCTCACTTCTGCCAATCCTTCATTCCACTGGTTACACTTCTGTTGATCCTTTCATGGGGCATAAGTATAGGAAATAATAATAAAGATGACCCAGCGATAAGGTGATAGATTGTCTCTCTCTTTTAAAGCAGCAGCAAATGTCTTTAAATGTATATTTATTATTATTTGTTACTTATATTTCAACTATGCCATTCTTCCAGTGAGCTAAAGGGGGCTCCCTACTCCCTACTTAGCCTCATAACATTGAACATTCCCTGGCCCAAGGTCAGCCAATGAGATTCATGGCTCAGAGGGGACTACGTAGAAGTTTGCTGTCCCACCTCATACTCTGTGCTGATGATTTTTGAAAATTCATCCTTCGTCCACAAATGACATATTTGCTGGGATGCATGATCGATGTTCTCTTTTCCACAACTCAACTTGTCTAAACCATAAAGGCCAAGTCCCAATACAGTTGTAATTAAGCTACCTACGGCTAGCACTTAAGATATGTGCCAGCCGTAGGTACCTGCATTTCTTCAAAAAGCTACTTTGAAAACCAGTACAGGTGAGACCAAGTGGCAGTAATTCTTTTTTATTTTTTATGTTATTTTTCTTTGATATTAAAACTAAAATACAAATTCAATAATAACCAAATACAATACATATTGGACTATCCCCACCCTTGCCACCTTCACCCTTGGGACTAGGTGACCAGAAGTATCAATTTATATCCCTTGTCACCCCATACCTCTCCGAAAATACATTGATTCTTTTGCTGGCATATAGTCTTCCTTCAAAAAAAAAACCACACACACACACACACACACAACCCAAAAATGCTCCAAATATGAATTCCGTACATCTTTGAAATCATTAGACTTTACATTTCCTCCTCTTATTTTCATTTCACATGTTAACTTATCATTAATTGCTAAGCTCCACATTTCTTTATTAGTCTTCAAGATTAATTTGTCACTTTTCCAATTCTTTGCCAATATTCATCTTGCTACTGTAACCATAATAACAATTAACCCTTTCTGTTCTTTTTAAAGATGATCATTCTTAATTATATTTAGGAGGGCAATGATTATTGTTACCTCAATACCATATCCAATAATTTCT